CTATCCGATTGATTTTTCAAAAAAATATTTTTTTGATATACTTTCGATCTCCTAAATATTAATGTATAACTCAAATATCCGTTTTTATCCAGTCTATTATCCAAATAAACATATTTATACATTAGGTGATGGAAAAATTGTTGAATTCAACTGAATCTTGCAATATATTTTTTGCTGAATGAGCTAAATTTTGCGGAATTTTTTTACATAGCAAATGGTTGGTAACTGCGGAATTTCATTTACAGCCAAAATCCAGAAAAAATAAGTTGAACTTAACTGTAGTTGGATCATGTGTTGGAGCATCCACTAGTCTAAAAATTGTTACGTAATTATATATGTAACAATTGCGTGCATAAGTGGACAATAAAAGGAAAAACGTGTTGATAAGACTTTTGCGCTCTAATATTTTATGGACTCGATGATGGTTTTACAGTAAACTAGTTACTAATTCCGCTTTCCTAAAAATGTAAGTACAACCAACTTTTTCAACAAAGGTTTGATGGTGTTGTTTTTTACGTGTAGACCATAAAATAAAGCGATGAATGCGCCTAATATATGCCTTAAAGTTTGAAACAATAAATAATTTATCCCCACTAGCTACACTACTTGAGTCGCTTTTTATCTCATTTTTCTTCTCCGTTCATGGTCAAAAGTTTTTGTATTTTCCTATTCCTATAAAAAGACATCCTCTATCTTTAGCTTCAATATACATTTCATGGCGACACAAGATTCTCAGGGGATTAAGTTATTTGGTAAAACCATTGCATTTAACGCCAATATGACTACTCCGACAACGATAAAGGAAGAAGAGAAACAATCGCCGGAGCCGGAGCTGGGGGCTACAACAGCCGTTAGATCATCATCATCAACGGATATAACGGCGGAGAAGCGGCCGGACAAGACCATAGCGTGTCCGAGATGCAAGAGCATGGAGACTAAGTTCTGTTACTTTAATAACTACAACGTTAATCAGCCTCGACACTTTTGTAGAGGATGCCATCGTTACTGGACCGCCGGTGGAGCACTCCGGAACGTTCCGGTAGGCGCCGGTCGTCGGAAGTCCAAACCACCAGGCCGTGTCGTCGTCGGTATGCATGGGGATGGAAGTGGGGTCCAGCTTATAAATGGCTTTCACGTCGAGGAGTGGCATGCCGCAGCCCAAGCTCACGGCGGTTTCCGGCATGATTTTCCCATGAAGCGGCTTCGGTGTTACTCCGATGGTCAATCGTGCTGATTATTTATTTATTTTATTTTAAAAATTGTTTTGGTTTGGTTTTGGAGTTTTGAGTGGGTTTCCTTTAAACCCGTTGAAGAACGTGTTGAATTTGGGTTTATACAGCCTGGCAAGATAGTTAATTTGTCATTTGTCAATCAATCGAATCTAATCACTACTTTATTGTATACAAATACAAGAGAATCCGTATTAAACAACTTCAATCTTAGGTTCCGAATGGAGAAAGCAGATCAAGCAGAGCGGATCAAGTGGATCAAACAGATAAAAAGCAGATCAAGCTGGAGAAGTGCAGATCTAACAAATAATGCAGTTTATAATATATGTTTGAATGGTGAAAGCGGATAAATAGCAGTACAAAATATATATTACAATAATAAAAAATTGGAATACAAATCTTAACTAAGAAATTATTAAACAATATANATACTTTAAATAAATTACATTAAGTCTAAATATTGTTTAGTTTTCATATTTTTAACACATAACTTTTTCAAATGTTAAAATTTTACATTTGTTTTTTAATTATGATAGGTATATTATTNAGAATCAATTTTCTCACTAGGCCAAAAAATTAGTAATTAAAGATCTAACAAAAATTAACATATGTGGTCTAATTGTGTCCATTAAATTTAGGATAATTGGTTAGATTTTTTATTATAGTTTTTTAAGTTACTCAACCCAATTTCCCTATTATTTATTGTAGTGTTAAAATTTAATTTTTTTAAAATTATGATCACTAGCTTATTTAATGTTCTTACTACAATAATAGTTACTAATAAAAATTTATAACAACAAAATATAATCAATTTTCTAAATAATTCCTTAAATAAAACAAATTACGTTATTAAAATATTAAAATATAATTTATAAATGTATAAACTACAACGGTTGTTATAAATATATTTCAAACCATNATACATAAAATAAAATAAAATACAATGTATGAATAAAGAAGAAATTTTTTTATAGAGTACTTCGATTTGCCCATAACATATTTGCAATATTATTCCTAATTGTTGTCATAAGATCTNCTTCTCCTATACTTGAAGTGTTCATGTCACCTAAATCATTCTCAGGATTTATGTTGGTAACCTCGACTTGGCTCATTATTTCGGCAAAATCTTCATCTGAAAAACTTGAAATTCTAATGAAATTATGTAATCCCATTGTAGCCATTACCACTCTCTTTTGCACGTGAAGATTATATCTAGGAAATTCACAG